TCCTACTTCTCTCTTATGAAAAGCCTATCTGTTCCTCCTTAACATTACGTTAATTTTCAAAGCTAACGGATGTTCCCCTTTCATTCCCACCTGTGGCACTCCGTTTCGAGCATGTACCCCTCTTACGATAAATTTTTTTTATTCCATAACTAATAACTAATAATCTCAAATAATTTTGATCTTGGATGTAACTAAATACGTAATTGAGTAATAGATTATGAATATTTTAAATAGATTGAAAAGTATGTGGTATCCATTCGGTAAGGGGTGTCAGGGCAAATAAAAAACTAAAACCCCTAAACCTTCTCATTAACAAAAGAACATGTTCCACTCCTAGAGTCTCGTGGAGAATCTCCGTGTGATCTAGGAGGGGGTGTCGATTTAATAAGAGTTGGCATTTAAAAGTGGTGCGAGTAGTGGTGGTTGTGGTAACCATGTGCAGTATCTGACTACAAAGGGAGTAGCAAGAAATGCATCACCAATTTTTCTCTAATCATTTTTTTATAAGACATGATATTAACCTCTCTTCATTCCAATATTACTGTTTTTTATCGATCAATGAAATATATTTTTTAAGTAACATCTACTTGTATCAAATTAGGAATTACGTTGAAAAGGATCCAAATACTATGTTTCTTATTATGTAAATGTTTTAAATTTTCTCAAACCAAAGATAAAATTATGTTTTTTTTTTTAAATTTTGATTCGAAATTGAAATTTATTTGGTTTTAAATTTTGATACTATATGATCTATCAACTTTAAAAAATAAGTAAATATAGTTATCGAGTTAAATTTTTTTGTCAAAAATATGTGAATTGCTTACACGGTTTGAAATGTTTCACCTCTTAAATTTCAGTATAAAACATTGTTTAACACGTAAAATAATCAATGTCATTGAATTAAAAAAATCATGTCAATTTTATTTTTAAACTTGGGAGAGTATATTATATTAAAGTTTATTAAACAAGAACAAATTTTAATTTTATGTGAAAATTTATATAAATTAAAAACATATTAAGCCTTGAAGCTAAACTATTTTAGAGTTTCAGGAATCATGGCACTAAGAGTTACTTGATGGGTGGAGTGACAAAAATGGTGGTCAAGTTTGACGAGCCAACCCACTAGTTCGACTAGAAAAGGTGGGTTGGGATAACATTTTCAACTCGAGAGCCCGAATTAACCTAGTTCACCAAACCCGCTAGCTCAGTAGGTCAGACTGTAGTCCAAGCCCAACAGCCTAACAAGCCAGACTGCGAGTCAAGTCGAGACAGCCCAACTTCATATAAAAAATTAAACTCACATCGCGATACTTCGACCTTTCGGCTTCAATCCGTTGTTTTTCAATCTTGATAGCTCGACCTCGTTCGACCTTAAGCTCTCAACCTAGTTCGACCTCAATCAGTTGCCCTTGACCTTTTGGCGTCATCATCTGTCGACTTTTCAGTCTTAACAAGTTGGCCATCGAGCCTTAACCATTATGCTCAATCATCTAGCCCTAACCATTCAACTCGCCCATTCGGCCTCAACCAGTCAACCCAAACCTCTCATAATCAATGGGTTGGTTAAGGAAGAGTTGGCCTAAGTGAACCCTTATTACACCTTTCGGGCGATAAGTCAAGGAAGAGTTCACCTAAGTGAACTCTTATCGATGGAGCACTGAGACGGTCAATGAATAATTCTGAAAAGAACCTATGTCATCTCACAAGCGATCTTCCAAGGAAGAGTTATGAAAATAACCTTTGTTTTCTCATAAGCGATGAACCAAATTGTCTCACAAGCGATTGACCAAGGAAGAGTTTAGAAAAAAACCTATATTGATTCCTGCTCATCAACACACAAAGCGCGCACAATTAATGTGAAGGACAATTCCAACTAAGGAACCCTTCTCGATTGGACAACGACATTCAACATACATGAGTGACAGGTACTTGGCCTTCAATGTAATGAACGACTAAATCAAAATCCCTTTGTAAATGATTTAATGCTCGGGCTCGGGGAGCTATATATTGTGTGTGTATCGATCATCATTGACTGACCACCCTTGGCTGATCACTTTGGGTTGACAACTTTGGACTGACCATCTTTGTTGACCTTTTGGACATATGACTCGTAGGCGACCACCCTTGACCAACCATCTTGACTGAACGACATGGCCAACTAGGTACATGATGAAGGTCAAATTAAAAAAATGATAATCATGAATCAACCTACTTATTACTGATTAAGGTATGATTTACGCGTGATTAGACAAACAAAAAGATAAAAATTCATAACAACTATTATATATAAAAATTTAAGGTATGGTTTTAAAAAATCCATACACAACCCATGCATCATCGCAACTAATGTTTTTCCCTACGATCTTCTATTAACTTTAACATCAAAATTTCTTTTGCAAGTATCATCCAAACTGATTAATGTAAAAATTGTTTAAAGACCGACTAGTGAACATAAAAATTACTAGAAAACTAACTCGGTAACATAAAAACCACTTAAAAACTAATTAATTGATCTTGTAAAGTTGCTTGCCCTTCACAAAATAGGAAGTCTTGTCCATATTAGTGCATTCCTCACTTGCAAAACATTTTTTTTAACCAAAATGATGATATTAATTTTTTTTTCTTCGTTGTAACTTTTCATCTTGTATGATTTTCTTTCATTTAAGTCTTCCTTATTTATTTATTATTGGTAATCATTTTTTAGATCCTAATTTTGCTGAGAAGTCTTAATTAGGTCTCAGTTATTTTTCTAATTATCCTTTCAAAAAATTAGATTGCTGTCGTTAGTTTCGTACTAACACCGTATAAAGGAGGTGTCACGTGTTGGTTCTGTTTTTTTATTTTATTTTTTAATTTTGTAATTTATTTTTTATTAATTTAAAATAAAATAAAATAAAAATGTCACGTGTCATAATGATATTGATGCCACATGACAATGACAGTGTGACATGACAGTGATAGTGCTCACGTGTCACTATCAGAGTCACATGTCATTGCATTAGTGTTTTGGTCCTTGTATTTTTATTCTATCTCCATTTTGGTCCCTCTATTTTTATTTCAGTCATAATTCTAAAAATTAAAACAATTTTGTCCCTCTCCAAATTCAAACAAAAATTTAAATTGTGTATAAATATTAAAAATATTTTTATTAAAATTGATATTTTTTTAAATATTTTTAACAATGATTAAGTTTGTTTATATTTTTTTTAATTAATTATATAAATGTTAATTATGTTTTTAAATATACCTATAAGAGTTAAAAGAAAACAGTGACATAATAGGTGTGTGAATTTTCGAAATGAGTTAGCTCATTGAACAAATTATTGAGTGAAATTTCACTTTTTTTTTTCAAATAAAAAATTGGAGAAAGTTTTCGTGAAAACATAATTAAAGGTAGATTTCTTCTTTCATGATCTTCCATGGAAACTTTTTCACGAAAATTCGCGACCAGCATGTTATGTCACTCTTTTTTTAAACTCTTATAGGTATATTTAAATAACATAATTAAATTTTATATAATTAAGTAAATATAAATTTATTAAACTTAATCTCTGTTAAAAATATTTAATAAAAGTATCAATTTTAATAAAAATATTTGTTAAGATTTATATACAATTTAAATTTGTTTAAATTTGAGGAGGGACAAAATTGTTTAATTTTTAAAATTAAGACTAAATTGAGTCAAAATAAAAATAGAGACCAAATTGAGACAAAATAAAAATACAACGACCAAACTGAAACTAATGCAATGACATGTGGCTTGAGAGTAACACGTGACACTGTTAGTGTCACGTCTCACTATCATTGCTACGTGACACAATATCAATTTGACATGTGACATTTTTATTTTATTTTTAAAAAAATTAAAAATAAATAAAAAATAAAAATAAAAATAATTAAAGAAAAAACAGGAACACGTGACACCTATTTTACGAAACTAGCAGGAATAACGTAATTTCTTTAATTTTCTAAAATAAAAACCCAAATAAGAAAAAATAATTGAAAATCTAATTGATACTTCTCAACAAAATCAATACCTAAAAAATATTAAATTTTTATTTATTTATTATGTATGTATATTCTATTTCTCTTTGTAATTGATTTTTTTTTTATAGATATTATGGACCCTTTCTCACCTTAACTTTAACTTAATGATGTTAGTACGGGAGAGAGGCTGGGGCGAGGCAAACCAAACCCTAATGGGAACGGTTATAAAGATGCAACTTTTGGTCTAAACGAGGTTCGTGTGCGAGAATGATGAATAGAATTGAAGACTGGAGTATTGTCATCACCTACCTGCGCCATGTGCTAATACCATTGGAAAACATTATACCCTTATAAATACGCCACATTTAATTTAATATCTCCTCATTCTTCATTTAACATTTATTGTAAAACAAAAAATATCAATCTTTTAATAAAAAGGTTATAATTTACTGGCAAAGGGATTATATATATGTATATATATTATCTTCAAGAATACAATAACTATTGCCGCTTTATGTAATTTTGCTTGTACATAAGACATAGAAAATACTTAAACCTTACAAAATAAAATAACTATAATTTTCAAGATTCCCATATAAATTTAGCTAGAAAAGTAACAAGGTTTGTGAACTGTTTAAATTCGTCATCGGATCATTAAATCATAATGAAATAAATATGTGTTCAAACCAAAAATATAATCCATTTACAATTAAATAAAATTTACAATTTAATTTATAGATAAATTATTAGATGCGATAATTTGAGAGCAAGAGAATTGTAGAAAAAAGAAAATGAGTGGAATAGTAAAAAGGAAAAGGGGTGAATATATTTGACTTTGACCAGAGTGAACAAAATTTTACAATGTAATCAGAAGCATGGAAGAGGTACCCACCGATCTCTGACACGTCATTATCAATCACGTGTTGATTGGTGGGTGTAGCGGTGGCTGTGGAAGTGTTCACAGGGTATTATGTGTATAAGTGTGTGAGTCAGTCACACGTGTTGTTCATGTGCTCTTAACCTTTTTTGTGCAGTTGTGAAGTGTAGCAAGCAACTTCATCCTTTCTTTCTCTCTCTGGAACGCAAAATCCTCTCTTTCTCTCTCTCCAAAACGCAACTTCGGTAGCCAATTGTCTGCGGAAAATGTCGGGGAAGAGAAAGAGGAAGTTGAAATTGTAACTTCTGTTCATCCTTACTCCCAATTTGAACTTTGCATCTCTGTATATCTCTCTATCATTGTTTTTATTATTATTTTATTAATTTGCATAGTTTATAGGGACATGAAGCATTTTCACACGGTTTCAATGCCGGATCAGTACGGATTTGCAGGATGTGTCGGTTTTCTTTAGTTCCTTTTTAACTATTGAGTTTGAATTTCGCAAAAAAGAAACATAAAGTTGTTTGGCCCTAATTTACTGGGGTTGTAATTGACAATGTTTGTTAGGGTTTGTGGATCGGATCAGTATTTGGTTTAGACGATTGAGGTGAAGAATGGGTTGACCTAATTTTGAATTGCTGAGTTAGTAGCTTGTAGGTTGTCTGCAGGCTGTGTTTGATTCTCAGTTATCTAGAATGCTATTGTGCTGACTTTTAAGTGACAGTTGCTATTTTGTATGTTTTCTTATTTCCAATTTGATGGAATTTTCTTGTTTCATCTACACTTATTGCCTGTATCTGAAGTTTAGTGTTGATATTTTGTCCTTTCTCTTGGAGCTGTAATTGGTGCTTCATGACTGGCCCTATGAATAACCATTTCTGGGTTTCATGGTTGTGGATTGCTCCTGTAGATCTTTAATGTAGCTGTTTGATATATTGTATACTTCCCGTTACGTAAGCCCCCAAATTTTGTACCTAAGACATTTACAAGTTTTGATAAACGATACAAATTTGTTGCATGTTTATGCCATTGTTCTGTTTAAATATTTTTTCTGTTCTTTGTTTGAGATTTCCCTTAACTGCTAGAATATGGATTTGTTTACATCTTTGTTGGGATGGAAAACTGTTTCTAATTACAAAATCCTGGTTCTTTATTTATTCTTATTGCATCATAAGTTTTTTTGTTGGATTTTGTTTCACTTTTATCCAGAATGCTTTTGCTAATCCTAATTATTCAGGCTAAGCGACACAATCACAGACAATAGAAGGTCAGTTGATGAGATGAAAAGTGAACATTTGGAGCTGCAATCCTGGGCTGATCTCCCTGCTGAACTCTTAGAACTAATCTTGTCCCGATTGATCCTTGCTGATAATATCCGTGCTTCTGCTGTTTGCAAGAGATGGCATTCTGTTGCTAGTGATGTCCGTGTAGTAAGCCAATCACCATGGCTTATGTATTTTCCAAAATTTGGTGACTGTTATGAATTCTATGATCCTGTGCAGCGTAAGACCTACACCCTTGAGTTGCCAGAGTTGAATGGATCCAGAGTTTGTTATACAAAAGATGGTTGGTTGTTGCTATACCGGCCCCGAACTCACCGAGTATTCTTCTTCAATCCCTTTACTCGGGAGCTGATAAAACTGCCAAGATTTGAGATGACATACCAGATTGTTGCCTTCTCTTGTGCCCCAACATCACCTGACTGTGTTCTGTTTACTGTTAAGCATGTTAGTCCTACTGTTGTGGCTATTAGCACTTGTTATCCTGGGGCGACAGAATGGACCACTATTAATCACCCAAATCGCTTGCCCTTTGTCAGTAGCATTTGGAATAAGCTTGTGTTTTGTAATGGGTTATTTTATTGTTTGAGCCTCACAGGTTGGCTTGGGGTGTTTGACCCGGTTGAATGTATTTGGAGTGTTCTAGCAGTACCTCCACCTAAATGCCCAGAGAATTTTTTTGCCAAAAACTGGTGGAAGGGGAAATTTATGACAGAGCACGGAGGAGATATATTAGTAATCTATACATGCTGTAGTGAGAACCCCATTATTTTCAAGTTAGATCAGACATTAATGAAATGGGAAGAGATGAGAACTCTAGATGGAGTAACTCTTTTTGCTAGTTTTTTGTCTTCTCATTCCAGGACCGACCTCATTGGAGTAATGAGGAACAATGTCTACTTCTCTAAAGTTCGTTTCTATGGGAAGCGTTGCATATCATTCTCTCTTGATGACTATAGATACTATCCCCGTAAACAGTGTCATGACTGGGGAGAACAAGATCCTTTTGAGAACATCTGGATTGAACCACCAAAGGACTTTTCGGCTTGCATGTGAAGAATTTTAGTGAACCAAGTAAGCATTTACAAAGTCAGTATTGTGTATAGAATGTTTTTCTACTTCATTTTATAACCCAAGACTTTGACTGTGTATAACTGTTGGATCTGTGCTTTTGTAGCTAGTATAATGAGACATTTATGGAGCAACTAAATTTTGCTTACTAATTTAATTTATGTATATTTAAAATTTTCCTTAGTGCTCTTAATCTTCTTGATTGTTTATCAATGCTTTCCCGTAAAAGTTAATCCTGGCTGCATGCATCAGTGTTGAGTTATATGCAAATCTTAACTGGATTCCTGTGGTTACATCTCCACTAATAGCATCTCCATTTTCAATTTTAACCACTAAGATTTTACATTTTCTGTATCTTATCCATTGAATGGCTGTAAGCAAATTTGAAATGTTTATGCTTTAGTATTATGTGCCATATGGTATGATTACAGTCAAATGTGATTGATCATTGGCTATGGAAATGAGAAAGGATCAAAGTTACAGGTAAAACTGCAAAACATAATTGTATGCCTGCATGTATTTTAAGAGCACTTGTGTAATGTTGGAATGGCAGAANGTGAACTGTTTAAATTCGTCATCGGATCATTAAATCATAATGAAATAAATATGTGTTCAAACCAAAAATATAATCCATTTACAATTAAATAAAATTTACAATTTAATTTATAGATAAATTATTAGATGCGATAATTTGAGAGCAAGAGAATTGTAGAAAAAAGAAAAGGAGTGGAATAGTAAAAAGGAAAAGGGGTGAATATATTTGACTTTGACCAGAGTGAACAAAATTTTACAATGTAATCAGAAGCATGGAAGAGGTACCCACCGATCTCTGACACGTCATTATCAATCACGTGATGATTGGTGGGTGTAGCGGTGGCTGTGGAAGTGTTCACAGGGTATTATGTGTATAAGTGTGTGAGTCAGTCACACGTGTTGTTCATGTGCTCTTAACCTTTTTTGTGCAGTTGTGAAGTGTAGCAAGCAACTTCATCCTTTCTTTCTCTCTCTGGAACGCAAAATCCTCTCTTTCTCTCTCTCCAAAACGCAACTTCGGTAGCCAATTGTCTGCGGAAAATGTCGGGGAAGAGAAAGAGGAAGTTGAAATTGTAACTTCTGTTCATCCTTACTCCCAATTTGAACTTTGCATCTCTGTATATCTCTCTATCATTGTTATTATTATTATTTTATTAATTTGCATAGTTTATAGGGACATGAAGCATTTTCACACGGTTTCAATGCCGGATCAGTACGGATTTGCAGGATGTGTCGGTTTTCTTTAGTTCCTTTTTAACTATTGAGTTTGAATTTCGCAAAAAAGAAACATAAAGTTGTTTGGCCCTAATTTACTGGGGTTGTAATTGACAATGTTTGTTAGGGTTTGTGGATCGGATCAGTATTTGGTTTAGACGATTGAGGTGAAGAATGGGTTGACCTAATTTTGAATTGCTGAGTTAGTAGCTTGTAGGTTGTCTGCAGGCTGTGTTTGATTCTCAGTTATCTAGAATGCTATTGTGCTGACTTTTAAGTGACAGTTGCTATTTTGTATGTTTTCTTATTTCCAATTTGATGGAATTTTCTTGTTTCATCTACACTTATTGCCTGTATCTGAAGTTTAGTGTTGATATTTTGTCCTTTCTCTTGGAGCTGTAATTGGTGCATCATGACTGGCCCTATGAATAACCATTTCTGGGTTTCATGGTTGTGGATTGCTCCTGTAGATCTTTAATGTAGCTGTATGATATATTGTATACTTCCCGTTACGTAAGCCCCCAAATTTTGTACCTAAGACATTTACAAGTTTTGATAAACGATACAAATTTGTTGCATGTTTATGCCATTGTTCTGTTTAAATATTTTTTCTGTTCTTTGTTTGAGATTTCCCTTAACTGCTAGAATATGGATTTGTTTACATCTTTGTTGGGATGGAAAACTGTTTCTAATTACAAAATCCTGGTTCTTTATTTATTCTTATTGCATCATAAGTTTTTTTGTTGGATTTTGTTTCACTTTTATCCAGAATGCTTTTGCTAATCCTAATTATTCAGGCTAAGCGACACAATCACAGACAATAGAAGGTCAGTTGATGAGATGAAAAGTGAACATTTGGAGCTGCAATCCTGGGCTGATCTCCCTGCTGAACTCTTAGAACTAATCTTGTCCCGATTGATCCTTGCTGATAATATCCGTGCTTCTGCTGTTTGCAAGAGATGGCATTCTGTTGCTAGTGATGTCCGTGTAGTAAGCCAATCACCATGGCTTATGTATTTTCCAAAATTTGGTGACTGTTATGAATTCTATGATCCTGTGCAGCGTAAGACCTACACCCTTGAGTTGCCAGAGTTGAATGGATCCAGAGTTTGTTATACAAAAGATGGTTGGTTGTTGCTATACCGGCCCCGAACTCACCGAGTATTCTTCTTCAATCCCTTTACTCGGGAGCTGATAAAACTGCCAAGATTTGAGATGACATACCAGATTGTTGCCTTCTCTTGTGCCCCAACATCACCTGACTGTGTTCTGTTTACTGTTAAGCATGTTAGTCCTACTGTTGTGGCTATTAGCACTTGTTATCCTGGGGCGACAGAATGGACCACTATTAATCACCCAAATCGCTTGCCCTTTGTCAGTAGCATTTGGAATAAGCTTGTGTTTTGTAATGGGTTATTTTATTGTTTGAGCCTCACAGGTTGGCTTGGGGTGTTTGACCCGGTTGAATGTATTTGGAGTGTTCTAGCAGTACCTCCACCTAAATGCCCAGAGAATTTTTTTGCCAAAAACTGGTGGAAGGGGAAATTTATGACAGAGCACGGAGGAGATATATTAGTAATCTATACATGCTGTAGTGAGAACCCCATTATTTTCAAGTTAGATCAGACATTAATGAAATGGGAAGAGATGAGAACTCTAGATGGAGTAACTCTTTTTGCTAGTTTTTTGTCTTCTCATTCCAGGACCGACCTCATTGGAGTAATGAGGAACAATGTCTACTTCTCTAAAGTTCGTTTCTATGGGAAGCGGTGCATATCATTCTCTCTTGATGACTATAGATACTATCCCCGTAAACAGTGTCATGACTGGGGAGAACAAGATCCTTTTGAGAACATCTGGATTGAACCACCAAAGGACTTTTCGGCTTGCATGTGAAGAATTTTAGTGAACCAAGTAAGCATTTACAAAGTCAGTATTGTGTATAGAATGTTTTTCTACTTCATTTTATAACCCAAGACTGTGACTGTGTATAACTGTTGGATCTGTGCTTTTGTAGCTAGTATAATGAGACATTTATGGAGCAACTAAATTTTGCTTACTAATTTAATTTATGTATATTTAAAATTTTCCTTAGTGCTCTTAATCTTCTTGATTGTTTATCAATGCTTTCCCGTAAAAGTTAATCCTGGCTGCATGCATCAGTGTTGAGTTATATGCAAATCTTAACTGGATTCCTGTGGTTACATCTCCACTAATAGCATCTCCATTTTCAATTTTAACCACTAAGATTTTACATTTTCTGTATCTTATCCATTGAATGGCTGTAAGCAAATTTGAAATGTTTATGCTTTAGTATTATGTGCCATATGGTATGATTACAGTCAAATGTGATTGATCATTGGCTATGGAAATGAGAAAGGATCAAAGTTACAGGTAAAACTGCAAAACATAATTGTATGCCTGCATGTATTTTAAGAGCACTTGTGTAATGTTGGAATGGCAGAAGGAACCAAGTCAAGTAACATCTGTGCACACTGTATACTAGATTTTATAATTCATATTTTTTACAGTTTCAATAATGATTTTACATATTTCTTTTATTGCATTCACCTTCAAATTTTGTGAAACTTTTCTAAAAGTTGGGTACTTAATATCGTCAAATTGTGAATTTTGTATTGCTTTGTTGCCTTCTCAGGTGGTTAGAGCCACCGTATAATTAAATTTGACTGGCTTAGACAACCTATTAGTAAGAGCACCAACTGGCATCCATATTTTTCTTAATTCAGCTTGATGGTGGGATTATACATCTGCATTTCTAAAAATGTTAAGAACCTTGTATAGGCAAGGGTCAGTGTGTGATGAAGTGGTCTGTGATGGGAAATTCAGTTGTTGAAGGGTTCTGTAGCAACTAGCAACCTCATGATTGATTTTCTTTCTTGGGTGCTTAAACTGATTAGACCAATCTGTTGTTTGATTGATCAAATATATCTTGTTTTCAAATGAATATTAAAACTTTCTGTTTCAATATTTTATTAGATTATAGATTACTCCTCTATACCTTCTCATGTGTGGAGTTTTAGCTCTCCCTCTTTTTCTGTAATGTTTGTTCCTTCTGCTTGTGAGTGGTGGATCAACATTTCCTAACATGATGTCTATGTCTGTATGCAGCATTTTGATTCAACGTCAGTTCCCAATGCAGAACATGTGAATATTCAGAAGCATGCCCTGTTTGCAGGGTGCATGTAGGAGGCTAATGTATGTGTAAAACTGAAGTTACATGTGAAGGAAGGACCTCTGTGAGAGGGAAACGAAAGACTTGCCTCCTTGGTTACCAGCTTTGCAGATCCTGGAACATCAAGATTTTTGGGCTCAGCACAGCAGAAGACGTAGTTTATGCTAATCTAGTGATTTATTAATTATTATTTTGGGCATCAGTAGTTTATAATATGTGAAGGAATGGACATCTCTAAGAGGGAAGCGAAAAAGACGTGCCCCCTTTTGTTCATTTCGTATCTGTTGATCTTTGACTATTATGAATTTTTGCCCCCAACACAGCAGTACTTATGCAGAAAATTAGTTTATATTAATAATAAAGACATTTTTTAGTTTTTGGCCATGATTCATAGTTTGTTTTTACTATGCTTATCAATATTAGTTTAGTTTGTCTACTAATTCAATTTTAGCTATATTTGTTAAGGGAAAAGAATCATATTGGTGAACTCTCAATGGATAACATTCATTATTAAACATGCAACTCTTAAAAATATCTTCTGGAAATTGAAGAGTGATTTTTTTAATCTTTATTTTCACAAAAACTGTTTTTCCTTTTCAGGAAACTTGTGAATTTAACTTGAGTTGGTAATTAAAATTTAATGATGTGAAAAATAGTAATCACTTTTGTTAGCATATTTGCTGTATTTTAGTTTGAAAATATTTTTATTGCTTTTGAGGATAAAAATATCAGTCGATATTTTGTGTACTTGACGCAAAATTTATGTATGAAATTTTGATATTTTTTATGATTTTCAAAGTTTAAAAAATTTAATGTAATTAGTTTAAAATAGTATATCTATTTAATTTTTAAATTTGGAAAGTAAAATATATCATATTTTTTAGACAAATTTTAATAAAGTGTTATAATTTTAAAATTTATTTAAAAAATCTGAGAAAAAATTATTCTCATTGAATTTAAAAGTATATTTGCAACAATTTTTATTTCAAAATCAATACCCGTTTTTAAAATCTCATAATAAATACCTTTTTATAAAAATATAAATTAAATAAATTCAAAACAATTTTTGAAAAGGTATTTCAAAAAATTCAGTGGGAAATTTTTATTGGAGCTATTCATAAGAATATTTAATTAAAAAAGAAATTATAAACATTTCAAAAATTGTATGCTACTAAAAAAAGTTAAACATATTTTTAGAGCTCATAAATTGAATAAGTTTTGAACTCGACCCTATAAAATTTTAGTTATTGTTTTCCGTTCTCATAAAAAAGGTAAATTTTAACTGTAGTCTCTAAATTATTTCTTTGATTTTAATTAGTCTAGAATTTGAAATCACTACTTCTATTAGACAATATTTATTTTTCATATCTTAAAGAGTATTTTTAGACGCTACATATATTTTTCATGCTTCATTTAGAATGATTACATAAATTATGGTTTATACAGACACTTAATTAGTATCATATAATAGTGATCAAAGATAGTGAATTTTTACTTTAGACGAACAAAAGTACGTTTTTTCATTGATCCAACAAAAGAAAACTCATTCTATAGGAATTAAAACATATTTAGGTGGAAATAATTTTCAACTATTTTTTGTAAATAATGTAATATACATGACACTCGTGCTAATTACCTAATCCGTAAACCCTAAAGAAAGATTAGAATTAAACATCACAAACTTTCTTGAGTCAAGTCCTTTCCTTCACGAAGTATCCGCAACTGAAATGGAGTATATATAAAAGTGGTATCATTTCTCCCTTTTATATTTTGGAACGAATCATTAAAATCCTTGAATTGACTGCAGATAAATTATATTTCGAGAGATAAAATATTGCATACAGTCACAGATAACTTCGTTCTAAATTCTATTTTTTCTACCACGATGGTTAGATTTTTTCTACCACGATGGGTAGAATCACACACACATGCATGTATGAGAGAGAGATCACAAGACATATTCATAAACTTTCGGGAATCTAGTAACATTTGTCATGTTTTTCAGATCACTGTTGCCTATTTAGGGATTTGAGAACGAAAAAGTGTACAAAAGAGATAAAATTATACGTAAATGCCTTTACAAATATGTAGTACTGGTACAAAAATTGTAACAACTCCATTCACAACAATTAAAGCCTCGGGTGCATCTGCTGAGGGAGACAGAATAATATCAGTAAAATCCCGTTCATACATTGTCCATCATGCAGATATAAACGAAGGAAGTGCAAATCATTATAAGTATGAATTTCAAAAAATATATATGAATCAAATTGTAATTTCATTTGGCTAGATCTTTTCTCCCGAATTTATCAAAACTAATTCAGAATTGATGGAGGTAGAGCACTAACGGAGTAGGAACAAACCTCAATTTCCTAGCTCCTTAAAGCCCATTTAGTAGGGATGATATCGGCCAAGCCCACTATTGCTGTTATTATCATTACTGCGTTTCCCACCACTTGAACTACCGCTGCCCCTCCTCCTATGTTGGGATTCCAGCACCGGGGCATGCTGTTGAAACCCTGGTTGTTGTCTATATGTACCACCATGGATAAAAGCAAAAAATCTCAGATATAGATGTTGCCAATAGTAAATTGTTAATTACTCACTGCGGGAAAAACTTGAATGATGGATTGAATATCTAAAATTATATAAATCATGATGACACTCACAATACATATCCAATCCTTCCATCAGGTAAAAGCATCGGCATCATTGTCATGCCAGGAGGGGTTGGTCCAGGACCATACATTAGTGGCTGCATATTTAAGAACATCAACATTGGTTAGAGACATATTGAGACATACACGTACCAGTATCAGCAGTTTTGCTTAAAATTACGGAGGACCGCATTTCTTTTTGTTGAATGTAACTATTGACTAAAAGTAAGGAGCGAAAAAAGTGGATACAGTTAAACTGGGTATGTGTATTAATATGTATCGGTGATATATATTGTGAATCACAAGTACATCAACTAAATTAAAAAGAAATTTAACTGTTGGGGATCATTTACTGCAAGTGAAATTATGTTGGAATGATGAAAACATCAATAATCAAACTTGATAACTATACAATTACTAGAGTGCAATCCACTCCTGTAACCTCTCAAGGTGACACCACATTTGCCAGTGTTTGTGGGAGGTAAATTCCTAGCCAAACCTCCAAACATCAATTATCTTTTCCAAATATTGCAAATCTAAATAGTTGAGACCCAATCCGTCATAGAGAAACTTACTTGCGCAAAGCCAGCAGCACCATATCCTGCACCTATTGCACCACCAACCATACCATAACCAAGATGAGGTGGATAAGTGGGAAGTATAGCTGACTTCTGTTGATTAGCTGCCCCAGATGACTTCTGATCTGCTTGTGGCTTTGCTAATGAACACTCCAATGTTTGTCCTGTCCGTCCCCAAAGAAAACAACACATTCGTAACTGTCTAGTTCACTTTTTTTAAAGAATATTTTAGGAAAAAAAGGATCATAAATTAATAAAAAAACTACCATCAATTTCATATTTCTCTGTGTTCTTCAATGCCTTCATGGCACTTGATCTTTCAGCAAAGTGAACAAAACCATATCTGCTCTTTTCTTGGCCAGCTTTAGCAGAAGGGACAACCACTTTTGTGATTTTTCCATGATGTTCAAACAGCTCCTTAAGACGATCCTGAGTAATGTTTCCTGGAAGGTTCTTTACATACAATGCTTTTACCTGTAAAAAGCACTAAAATTATACAACTCTATAAAGCATAACTAAAATATAAAAAGTATTTCATGAGGAAAGCCACAGGAAAATTAATCCCGTTCTCACAACAGTTGCGTGGACAGTATTAACATGAAACACAACAACCAAAGATACAGGAAATTTAATCCCTGCGACAGCTCAATAATAAGACAGAAAGTCTTCACATTCAAGTCTTCCCAAAATATTTTACTCACTAATATCTTGTTTAAACCAAAAATCTCAGTAATTAATTGATGAATAATAACATTATATTAGGATTAATTAATTACATTTTTTAGGGTTTGTCTCTCTTCCTATTGTAAATCTCCCTTTTAATAAAAACAGTACCATGTGTTACTGAACAGCTAGTAATATAATGCCCAGAACACAAAGCAGATGCATGAAGCAACCCTGCACCAAGAAGACAGAAAATGGAGAATACAAATTATCTAAGTGTTTTTTTTTCAGTTTTGTGTGCATTGAGCATATAAAAACAAATTGGATAAGTTGAACCACTTTTGTCTTAGCTTCAATGCCAATTAGATAGTAGTAGCAATAAAAGGGTCACCAACAACACAGTTTGAAAAATGTCACACTATGGGGCCAGAAGGGTCATCTCACCATTTAATTACTAGGTTCGATGCTTTTCTTTTGCATGAATTACCCCACCGTTTTATGTTATATTCTTTCAGTGTGTTCATTGGAGGTGTCCTATTGCAGACTCAATTTGTCTGCATTGTATCCTCTCACTGTTGACGTTATCAATATTTGCCTTTTGAATTTACCAATGGTTATCAAATTTTATTTTATGTCTATTTGCAGCTGTTATATAACTCATACTTGTTGGATTGAACCAAGGCCAAGGAGAGCCCAATGGTATAATAGATATATAAAATAGATCTTTTCAAACTTATAAAAATAATCAATTATAATTATTATGAATTTATTCGAAAATCTTCTGAACTATTTCATGTTGCCATTTGAATAGTATTCAATACATCATATCTTGTTCATAAGATGAGACATTCAAATAGTTGCATTATGCTATATAACATAAACTGTAGCTATGCAACGTATCAACAAATATGATGTAGATTTATATCTCAGCACAAATTATAGCTATACTGGCCTACACATAATTTTTTCTTCAAAATGAATTTATTCATAAAATTTAATTTTATATTAAAATCACCTGAGAGTTTGCAGATGATTCATAATTCCTTGGATCTGCCCAGCTAACTGTTGGAGCATTACTGCCAAGTTTAAAGTCTGAGTTTGACATTTTCTGCCTTGAATATTCTGCACAAGCATTGTTGTAATACTCAATAAAAGCAAATCCCCGGTTACGGCCAGAAACCTGTGGGTCCTGTACAACGATACAGTTTGCCAATTCAAGGCAGAAATTACCCATTATACATCACAATTAATAGTTTTGGTGACAAGAACAAACTTTAAACATGAGTTAGCAAATTAAAATCATACTATATGACATAATAGAAATAAAGTCAACCAAACCTTCAATAGTTCCACAGAAATGACTCCAGGGCCAATCTCTGAAACAACTTTGTTCATATTTTCTTCAGTCCAATTTCTGGGAACATTACCAATGAACAACCTGTGCTTAGCTTGAGATGTTGAGCACTTTATTTTTTTTCCCTGGGAACTCAGAAAAAAGAAGTCACTTAATTCAGATCACAGTACCACAGGCTAGGGTGGCCACTGGCCAGCTAAACAGATAGGATATAGAATTTTTTTAAATTATAAGCGAAAAAAACAGAAAACTGGAGTAAAGAAGTAGATGACCTAATCAATGAACAGGATAACAACTACAGATTAGAAAAAAATAGCAACAACTACTGTACCAAAATACCTTAAGTTCAGTGTTGTTCAGCTCCTTAATAGCCTTAGATGCCAATTCCTTTGTCTTGAAGGTCACAAAAGCGTATCCTTTTGCTTCACCTGATTCTTTGCCCTTCATTATCCTAACCTGTACAAATTTAATCAGTTTCGGAAGAAATACATGAAAAAAGAAAAAGAAAAAGGATAGAAGAATTTCATGTATCTAACCGCTGAAACTTCTCCCACAGATTGACAAAATATGCTCAAATCTTCTTCAGAAACTTTTTGAGGAATGCCCCCAATGTAAACCTCGGACCCATGAGGTGGAAGTGCAAGAAGCTCAGCATGTTTCTTTTTCTCATCTTCAGTGTCTGTCACTCCTGTCTCATCTTTAACATCTGAAGGCTTAGTCTCTTCTACTTCTTCCTCCTCCCCTTCCTCCTCCTCCTCCTCCTCCTCCTCTTCTTCTTCCACTTCTACTTCTTCCTCCTCCTCTACCTCTTCATACTCAACTTCTTCTTCCTCCATTGTCTCCTCTTGATCATTTTCCCCGTCAAAGTCTACTTGCTCATCAGAATCTGTAGGTTTCTCAGGCTCACTGTTCCCCTCTGGTGACTCTGGAATTTTGACCAATACATCTTTATGTCCTGTCCCAGGCATTTTTTGCATCTAGAAAAAGCAAACTCGCAGGGGAACTGTGAAGGAAGCACATACGCCAGAAGTATTGAAGAGAGATTGCAAATATGGTAAGGTGGAAACAATATGAGAGGCCAATTGGAATAGCAGAGAAAGAATTTTGATTGAAACTGTTCCATAGGGTGTGGACTAAGGAGTAGTGATATGGTTGATTTAATCTAGGGATCATTGTAACATTGCAACAAAAGTAACAGAGACAGCCAAGAGAGAACTCTCAACTAAAAATCAAGAAGATAGCAATGCTCAAAAGGGCAATCAAAGAAAAAAAAACATCTATGGGGAAATGAATGTCAGAATTTCTCCATACTTAGATGCCAAGAGTTGCCCGGAAAAATAGAGGCCAGTTAATTGTTTAACTATTTGTTGGAGAACAATGCACACAGAACAGAGTGGGAAAGGAACAAAAGTAAGAAATAAGAATCTGAACAACAAATATAATAAACATAAAAGTTTACATAACCGAGGGTGAGAGAGCAATTAAAAGTAAAGAACATCACATTCTGCTCCAATGCCCTCCCTACTAAACTAGGTTTAATGGGAGTCTAAGACGAGGCATATTATCACAGTTATTTTGACATATAAAAGCAATGTTACTACTCCCTAAGAACCATGGAGTTTTCATTGTGAACATGATAATGTGTTATCTAAAAATCTACCAAGTGATTCTCATTGAACAAGTTGCTAGTAGAATAGCCATGCTAATCTCATGGATTGTCAAAGAAACTAATGGAACATCATTCGTGTATCCATTCGCAAGAATATGAAACTATATATGTAAAACAGTGTCAATTTGTGTATTAGAAAACCAGAGCGAGAGGAGAGAAAGTACCTAACTGAGGACAGGTTGAAATCAAAATCCAAACTGTTCAAAACCCTAATCAATGCACCTTATATTCATGCAGTTGTGGGGTGAAATTCACAGTGGCTAAGTGGTGTAGGGAGAGATTTTGCCTTGGGCCTTAGGACTGGGCCTTCTGAATCGGACAAGATAGAAGAAAGAACAAAATTGCAGCAATGATGCTCCAAACACAAGAAAGAACCACAATGATTTGAAGTTTCACACAAGACACCTCAAGAAAAAGAAAAACCAGTGGGGCTTTTAGTAACTGTCCGAAAACTCTCTTCATGAAAATCCGTAACTGTAGCAGTGTATTAATCATGGACTAAGGAAATTGATTAAACTTATAACCATCCCCACCATCCAAAATCAAAAACCAGTTTCCAAAGAAAAAAGATTACAACTTTGTAAAAAAATGTAGTAAAAAAGAATGAACTCAAACAGAAGAAGTGATCGGAAGAAGGTGATTTGAGAAAGTTGAGTTCTCCCATACTTACCTGTTTGGTGGCTATGCCCTGATGCTCGAGTCATAGGCAGTTGCATACTTCATCCATAGCTTGTTGTATCGTAAACATTATTTCGCTTCGAACTAGCCGGTGATGAAGAGAAGCAGCAAAGATGGAAAAAAGAAGGTTAATTATTTTCAGAGCCAACAGATTGTTCTATCATGGCTGGTGAAATCTACCCGACTATTTAGCCACCCACTCTCATCGACAAGAGACTATTTGTTGGAAGTCTTGGAATCTTAGCGTAAATTAAAGATAAGATCAATTCATAATTTATAAACAAATACAAATCTTGTATTACAACTGATTTTATAAGTAGAATTAGACTTAAAGTCTACTTTCTTCCAAACCAAATTAGGAGGATCACAATCACAGATTTTCTCCATCTGGCGGTTTATTTAGTTTCCCTAACTTTTTGTAGTTCTTTAAACTCTTGTTGGATTGATCTCCTACGTTAAATGAAGAAAAAATTGAAATGGAATCGGTAGCTGCTTTCGCAACTGAGGTGTTGTCTTTTCTGTAAAGTATTTCAGTACGAACTTTACACTAAATTCCACGTAAACAAAATTCGTTATAGATAAAATTTTCATGAACTTGTATATTTTAAATTTATCTTCTGAATCGTTGAGGGAGACTTCCAACATTGTTATTTTGTTCTGACCAACTTTGGATCAAGGAAATTGCATTTGTTGAATCCTCGTCCAATGGGAAACTGATGAATCTGTAGAATAAGTGGAAGAAGACAAAATTAGCCTTTCAGTTCAAAGTTAAAGAACTTCAGATGCGTCTCCAAACTAAGAAAAGGAGATGAAGAAACAAAAAAATTTCAGCTTACAGTTTCATCCTTTGAACGCATAAGGAATACACCAATCATTTAGTCATGAGTAATGCATGGTCATAAAAAAATAAATTTTTGTATTTTTTTAAAAATAAAAAAAAAAATGAGTCAAATAAATATACAAAATTTAGACATGTTAAAAAATAATTATACTATATATATATTATAATTTTTTTTAACTTGTATATATGAACAGGTATATTAACGGTATTATTGAGTTTACTTGTCTAAAATAAATGTGTTAATGGTTAATGAATGTGTTTGGCTATGCACAAACCTATAAAATATACAATGATGTACAGATAAAAAAGCTTTGATCTATCTTAAAAAATAAAGCCTTTTTCAAAAAGATATCTGACTTAAGCGCATTGTCTTCTGCATATCAACAATGCATCGAAGTCCGATTGCATTCTTAGATAGGATTTGAGGATTAAAAGAGAGCAGAACAAAAAAAAAAAAAAATGACCGATCCTCGGATCAATTCAACCGATACAAGTTATATATTGTGTGTAATATTGGTTATATAATATAATTTATACATTATATTTAATGAACAATATTATTTAGCAGTTATATTATGTGTACTAGACTATTTAGCATCAAGTTTCTCTGTTTGAATCTTCAAATAGTGGAAGTTTGCAATGTTATCAATAAACTTAAATGAAAAAAAATTAAGAAAAGAGTAAACAAACTTTATAATGGATGTTTGTATTGGTGATCAAAGATCTTACAATTAGTGGATTGCAAAACAAAACGATTTAATGCGATTGAGTTAGATTTAATTTTATTAATTAGTACATCTATTTTTTGAACCCTCTCGTTCATTACCCAGTACCAGAACGCTATGTACTGATATCAGTATTACTATCTGCTTTATTTGGATTGAATGATAGGAAAATATTAAATAAAGCAGAATTTCAATCAATTTAGTTGTTTTTTTTTCATCTGTCGCATAAGTGAAATTAAGAAAAACAAAATGTACTAAATTTTAAATTAGAATTTAAAC